AAACACTAGACCAAAAGTCAGCCAACCAGGTGTCTGGTTCCAGTTTTTCTTTCAGATTATAAGTTACATCAGCTCTATAGATTTCAGCTTCATTGTTCGATAACAAATGACTAAGTCCCTGTTATGTGTAGTAGTAGGGGAGGTGAGAGGGAAGAGAAGAAGGGAGAAAAAAATGGAACTCAAAATCTTTCAAAAAATGGTTGTTGAAAACTATCTTTACAGGTGATTGGAAAAAATAAAATACTATTTTAAAAAAACCTCAAAAGCTAAAAACTGGAAGGAGATACCCATGTAGGAGTATGGGGGGGGGGAGGTTAAAGTCCGGAAAATGAAGGATGAGTGTTCTGTTCCTGTCTTCAAAATGGAAATTCTGTGAAGAACTCACTCCTGGGAGAACACATATCCAGGCATACACAGTTAGAGCATCTAGGAGTTATTAAATCTATTATTATCCACATTTTACAGTTAAGAAAACTGAGGAAGACAGGGGTTAAGTGACTTACCCAGGGTCACACTGTTGGTGAGTATCTGAGACAGGATTGGAATTCAAGTCTTCCTGACTCCAGGCCCAGTGCTAGATGCCAATATGGAAAATTACCATTATGGTCAGGTGGGGAGGAAGAGGAGTTATAGGCCCACACCTCTCAGCTATCAAATCTGGCATCCCCAGGGCCTCTCACCAGTGAGGGGCCACAGCACAATTCCAAATTCCTACTTCCTAGTCAGGAAGACTTGAGTTGTAGTTCTGCTTCTGATACGTATTAATTGTGTCAGTGCCCTGAGTGACTCATTAAGAATAGAAGTAATTTATGTATAACTATATCAGATTGCTTGCCATGAGAGGGGAAAGAGGAAGGGAGAAAAAAATGGAACTCAAAATCTTTCAAAAAATGGTTGTTGAAAACTATCTTTACAGGTGATTGGAAAAAATAAAATACTATTTACCAAAAAAAGCCCCAAAGCTAAAAACTGGAAGATACCCAAGCAGGAGTTTGGAGGCAGGGGGTTGACGTCTGGAAAATGAAGGATGAGTGTTCTGTTCCTGTCTTCAAAATGGAAATTCTGTGAAGAACTCACTCCTGGGAGAAGATATATCCAGGCATACACAGTTTGAAGATCTAAGAGTTATTAAAAAGAGGCCCAAGAACATTTTAAAAATGTAATAACTGTAATCTATATAATTTGTTTTCTTATTAATTTTATAAATCTTATTTTATGCATTTTTTCCTGAGAAGAGGTCTGTAGGCTTCACCAACCTGCAAAAGGGTAGTTAAAGGAGTTAAGAACCTTTGACCTCAAAGGCCAACCTCCCTTTAGTAAAACTTCCATGTAGGTTTAGTGGAGGGACATGGACAGACGTGGCACAGAATCAAAAGTTGTGGATGAATTTTGATACTGCCAGTGGAAGTGACATTCATGTCTCTGAGAGTGTGAATCTGTGGAAGTACTGAATTGGCTTCCATAGTTAAACAACTTGTGATACAATGAAACCGTTCGATACAATTTGCACTGATCTATATGGGTGTTCTTTTCAGATGCCTCATGATCATGAGTATCACGACGCAGTTTAAATTGATCGTCAGGATGACTGGTGGCGAAGTGCTTTTCCCATGAGTCAGAAACTTAGATATGTTATTTTTGTCTTTCTCTCATTTCTGTGTGTTCCATTTCACATAGTTGTACCTTACTCTAACATTCATGGTTTATTTTTCAAAGTGGCTACTCTGATTATGCTACTACAGTCTTTCAAAAGCTTTAGTGGTCTGATGCTGTAGACAAAATTATGATCCTAAAAAAAAAAGAAAAGAAGAGAAGTGACAGAATAATCTGGATATGCATTAGTGGACAGAGTTTCCACACCAAGGGCTCTCCACACTGATGGAATCAGAGGTTGAGACATTCCCCTTTCTCCTCTTCCCCAGTAAACATGAGCTGAACAGTGCTAGATCTAATGCTGGGTGCTAGCAAAAAGACAAAGATGAGGCAAGACATGCTGCCTGCTCTCAGGGAGCTTAAAGTCTAGGAAAGGATGTTAGAAAAACATCAATAGCTCTGACAGCACATCTTGCATAAGAAATGCAATGAAATTAAGGGTAGTTGGGAGGGGTGTTATTTGAGCATAAAGTGGAACTATCACCTGCTTCTTTTCCGATCCCATCAAGTTGTTGATAGTTTCAATGAAAGACAGCAAGTGATGCTGGTCTTCCATAAGCCCTGTCTGGGTCCCTATTTCCTCCTCTGTGAAAAGCGGGGTTGGACAGGATGCTCTCTGAGTGCCCTTCTGGTCCTCATTCCTATAATTCAAAGGCAGATGATTTCAATGGATGCTCTTTTTGTCTTAGTTACCTTGTGGAAATCTGTATCTAGAATCCTCCAATCAGCCACCCATTTTATAGGTATAGTGGTCAAATTAGTATTCTAATATTCCTTATTTGGGATTACCAAGGCTGTTTTAAGTAAATTAAGTAAATTCTTCAGGGACTTTCAAATTTTAACAGTTATGAAGAATACATCTGAACTCAGTCTTTGGCTCCATGCCTTACAGTAATATCCAAGGTGGACATTAATTGCAAAAAAAAAATGAATTATTGGCCCTACTTTGTACTTTGGAGCCTAGAAACCTGCATAACCCAACTTCCCTCTTCCCCAGACTCCCTACCCCAATTGAAAGTTCAGCATGAGTGCTTGTCCAAATTTTCCTATTACTTATCTTCAGACATTTTATGATAGCACTATATTGATTTTTAAACAAACTGCTAAGGCATTTTTATAAACTTGAACATCAGGCATCATTGTAAACAAAGTCTGAATTCCTTCACCCTTCAGTTACCACACACACCCACCATCTGCCCTCCAAAACTGCAGCTTGTGTTTTCTGTACTTGCAAAAAGGTTTTGCTTTTAACTTCATTTAAAAAGGAGTGATTCTGTTCCTGCTGCAGGTATAGAGAAATTTATTGTTCCTGCCTCTGGTGATAGATTACTTTCCCTGGCACACTTCTTGACTTGCCTGTATTATAAGAAGGCTCGATTTCCTTGAATTTAAGGTCTTTTTAAACACTCACAAGGTTTCATGCCAACATAGCCTCCGTCTCCAAAAGGGGTCAATAGCCTCTTTATCCTTGAGTGTCACCAGTGAAGGAAGAAAGGAAGAAATTAGAGAAGAAAAAAAGGAAGGAAGGAAGGGAAAAAAATTGTGTGCCTAGTATATGTACTGTGCTAGGTACTGAGTGTACAGATAAAGAATAAGAAAGTCTCTGTCCTCAAAGACCTTATATTCTAATGGGGAAGGAAACATACATAGGTAAGCAATGTCCAGGGAAAAGAATTTTGGTCTGGAGTTAAAGGGACTGTCAGTGGAGCCAAAGGGTTGTTGATCGTCAAGCCGTTTCTGATGATAGTATTGATTTAATTATTGTTTTCAGATTAAGAGTTGAAAAGCAACGTATATATAGGTGTGTATAGCAGTAAGTGTCCAATGTCAGGGAAGATGGCCAGGTGCCTGGGGTTGATGGGTGCGAAGCCTGGTATAGGACTCAGTGGGTTATGTGAGTTTGTGCACATTGAGAGAAGGAACAACTTCTAGGGAGTCCATTGCCGAATCTGAAATGGGAAAAGGAAACATGAAGCCTAAGTGAGTGAAGGAGTAGAGAAGGGGAGGGAGGAACCCTCTTCCCCTGCCGAGGTCACACAGTGGTGAACCACAGGGAGCAACTGTTCAGGTGCCATGTGGCAGCTCCCGAGCTGTGTGACTTGTCCCATCATAGGAACTTTAGGTTTTCTAAAGTTAGACATTTTATTTTGAGACAGGTCTAAGGATTGAAGAACATGAAAATTTCACTAGAAGAGCTGAATAAATTAGAAGCAGCCTAACTACGTGACCCTGTATTTAATCATCTACATGGTATTATTTAACATTCCTCTAACAACCAACACTCTAAAGTCAGTAAGTCAATAGTCAGTCAACAGGTATTTATTAGGGGCCCAAGTGTCAGGTACTATGCCCCGCACTGGAAGCAATGTGAAGGATAAAAAAAAAATAGTCCCTGTCTTCAAGGATCTCACAGTACAGTGGGGGAGACAATATACTATGTACAGAAAAAATTATGTGCTGGAGCAATGAGAGATCATCTTTGAGAGAAGGCTCTAAGCTCAGGACGAACTGGGCAGTGGTGTGTCATGAAAAGAATTAAACCCTTAGGGATGGGCTTCCTATCTAGCAGAATATGGCCAGGAAAATGAATGATTGCATGACTTTAGGCTTGTGGCTCTATTGCCATCACTTGAAATTAGCATCAAACTAAAAAATCTCATATGACCAGGAGGAAATGGAACCTTGCTGTTGATTAGCCAACTGGCAGTGTCAAGTCTGACCTCTTCCTTGAGTTAAAGCTAAAATTGTTTACTTTCCTTTTTTCTTTTTTTCTTTCTCTTCTTCCTTCTTTCCTTCCTTCCTTCCTTCCTCCTTCCTTCTCTCCTTCCCTCCTTCCTTCCCTCCTTCCTTCCTTCCTTCCTTCCTTCCTTCCTTCCTTCCTTCCTTCCTTCCTTCCTTCCTTCCTTCCTTTCTCTCTTCCTTTCTTTCTCTCTTTCTTTCTTTCTCTCTCTCTTTCTTTCTTTCTCTCTCTCTCTCTTTCTTTCTCTCTCTCTCTCTTTCTCTCTCTCTTCTTTCTTTCTTTCTTTCTTTCTTTCTTTCTTTCTTTCTTTCTTTCTTTCTTTCTCTCTTTCTTCCTTTCTTAACAGTAATAAGAGGAGACTCTAATCTTCTCTTAATTTTGGACAAATCTATCAGAAAGGCAAACAAAAGAGAAAATACGGAATTAAATAAATTGCTGGAGAAACCAGTACTCAAAGGCTTATGACGTCTTTTTTATATATTTTGTACTAGTTACATGTAAAAACAATTTTTCATATTAGTTTTTTTTTCAATTTTGAATTCCAAACTGTCTTCCTTTTCTATCAGTACAGAATGTATTCTGATGAGTATTTCCTTTTGGACTTTAGTCCTTTTTCTGCAGAGCCATCTGTTGGGACTGTCAACGTGGGAGACACTGTACAGATGGCAGTGGATTTTGAGCCACTTGTACTAGGAGACCACAGTGAAAAGCTTATAGTGAACTATGACACAGGTAGGCATTGTCTTTTGTTAAGCGACCTGAAGGGGACAGTGGGAAATGGGTTGTGTTTTGGGCATAGAGTTGCAGTGTCACAAAGGCAATGAACCCCAAGAGCAAAGACTTTTATGTTCAGTGTTAAGGTTGACAAAACACTGGATTCTCAGTGACCCTCTGAGCTAAGTAGTTGAAGTATTTTTCCCATTTTCAAAAGCAAGAACTTAGGATTAAAGAGGTTGAGGAACTTACTCACCACCATGAAGCAGGTAAGCAGCAGCACTGGGGCTTGTGTTGTACATACCTGGAATCCCCAAATGATGGCAGAGCTGGAAAGGACTTTAGACAACCTGGGGTCCAACCCCTTGCCCAGTAGATGAATCCTCTTTATCACATCTTTGGCAAGTGTTCATCTAGAAACTGCTTCAGCATCTCCAGTGATGGGGAAGTTTGTCACCTGCCAGACCAGCTTAACCTATTTTTGGATGGCTCTAATTGTTAAAAAATGTGTTGTATATACACACACATGTCCACACATCCAAAAGTGTCTGTAGGATATTATGTAGGGATGCCGATAGTCTAGGGATGCTGATCAGATACCAATGGAATATATGAAACCCTCCTGACCCTTCAAAGCTCACAAGGTCATCCTATAGCCAATGAATGGGAGCGGGGGGAGGTAGGAAGCTGAGGCCAAGGTCAATTCAAATTCTTCTAATTTGAACAAAGACTTTTTGCACCTATTTTTTGATTGAGCAATTCAGTAGAGGTGTTCTAACCTGGTTAAGGTGATTCCCTGACAGGGTAGAGCATCTGTTGGTTACTTTGAGTGAGGTTAGAGTAATTGGGTAATTGATTGATTGCCTAAACTGATCTGTAACCCTACCATTTATGTCAGTGGTTTCCATTAGGATTATCTTGAGGGTAATAATCAGATATAAGAAACAGATAGGAGTACTACAAATATATTTGAACAAAAATGTCTGCAATTCGCAAATATTTTAAAAAGGTCTAAATGTTTCCTGAGGTGTGTCCTCAGGCAACTAGAAGTTAAAATTTTATTATTGCCATTTGTCATTTCATGACTCGTTTCCCTCTCACTCTTAAAAAAAACCCCATATGTGATCATTGACCCAGATTCTTTATACTGAAAGTATATAATACAGAAGAGACATGTCGAGCCAAGAGCAAAGTGATGTGCAGATGGCCATCACCTCTCTTAATCTCATTGGTGCTCCACATGGCTCCCGGAACACAGTTTAGAGAAAACTGGTTTTGAGGATGTGTGTGCCTGGAGAGAACTGGCATTATTTACTGGACGTTTTTATTACTTTATGCATTCATGCAATTTTGAGAGGGCCGGGTCTCGTACTATCAAGATTGGTGACACCATTGTGAACAGATGGGAGCACCCTTGTTTTGTCCATCCTCTATTCCTTCCCTGTTGGCCATGTACATGGGGGTAGAGGTGGATAAGAATCAATCATTGAACAACCAACAGACATTGGACTATGTGAAGTGTTAGGAATACAGACACAACAAGAAGAGTTCTTGCCCTCGAGAAGCTTCCATTTTTCTGGGAGGACAGAACATGTTCAGAGCTAAGTGAATACAGTAGATATGTGAATAAATACATGGCCAGCAGGAACAGAATAGGGGATAGACAAGACTGGCATGCACCCCTCTGTTCGCATTGGTGTCATCAGACTTGGGGAGTGGCCTGGCACCAGCAGTTGGGAGAATCAGCAAAGATCTCCTGAAGGAGATGGTCCAGGAACCAAATCTTTAAGGGAGGTAGGAGAGTGAAAAGGAGAGGAGAGCGAATCAGGAGTCAGATGAAGTGAGGAGAGAGAGCCTTCTAGCCGTGGGACACAGCCCATGGGAAGACATGGAGGTAGGAGATGGCATGTTGTATATAAGGAAAACCAAATGGGCCAGCTGGGCTTTAGTAGAGAGTTTGTAAGGAGGATCAAAGTACAGTCAGGGGCAGCCAGGCTGAGGACTTGAGTTCAAATCCTACCTCAGACACTGAACAGTGTGACCCCAGGGAGCCCATTTAACCTCTTTCAGTCTCAGTTTCCTGATGTACCACACAGCAGTGGCTGGGAGCATCAAATGAGTTAATACATGTAAAGTGCTTCGTAAGGCTTACAGCCTAAAGAAATGGTAGCTGTTTACTTAGGGCCTTACCCTCATTTGGACCCCAGGAGCCCTTGTCCATTCTGGAGCCCTGGATCCCAGGCAGTTCCCACCAACACCCTTGAATCCCATGCCCACTTGACCTCTGGCCATCCCAGCCACCACCCCAACTGTCCCCTGTATCTGCTTTCTTTGCTCCTGTTCTCAGATTGCAGAACTTTGCTGACTTAGGTCAGTTACATCTTGCTAACTCGGAGCCACTGCCAATTTGTACTATTACATTTCAAATAGACCTTAACTAATTCTAATTTTCCCTCATTCATTTGTTTATCTTTTGGTGGTACCTTGGGGCTTCAGACTTTCTCCTTTCTTGGATTCCCAATTTTTCCTTCTTTTGCTCACCTTTGCCAAATGACCTCATCTCCAACCTTAAGAACAGTAGATTTGGAAAGAAAAAACAGAAGACAGACTTGGATTCAAATTATATCTTTAACACTTAATAGCAGTGTGACCTTGAGCAATCCCTTAAGCAAGGTGTGCCTCAGTTTCCTCTCTGGTAAAATGATGATAATATCTGACCTGCTTAGCCTACAAGCTTGTTTTGAAGATAATAATGACAGTGTTTCCAGGAGCCAAGATGGCGGAGTGAAAAGGTAGTCACTCTCACTCTCCCCTATCAACCTTTGAAAACCCAGAAAATATCACCCCAGAAAAAAACCCTGGAACAGCTGCCAACGGGTCTCCCAGTGCCTCAGCAAAAATAAAGGAGGCAGAGCTAAAAGGGGCCCCAGGCAGATAAGTACCCTGCAGCATTCATTTAAAAGGAAGTGAAGAAAGCAACCTAAAGGCTTCCTGAAGCCCCAGCCTTGCTGGTTCTAGCCCAACACCAGGTGAGCTGTTGGAGCCCTGCAGCCTCCAATTGTGAAGAAATCCTGAAGCCCAGGTGGTAGAACAGGCAAACACCAACACCTGGACCTCCAAGTGCCTCAGTGAGGGTGGGGGAACCGGTGGAAACCAGCTCAGAAAACCACCAGGTGCCTCGGCACTCTACTGCAAAGGAATCTCCCAGTGCATTAGCAGAAATGAGGGAGACAACACTGCAGGGGGCCCCAGGCAGAAAAACACCCTGCAGCACCCATCTAAAAGGAGCTGAAGAAAGCTAAAGGAAAGGAAAAGCAGGCAACCTAGAATTGCCTGAAAGTTCCAGCCTTGCTGATTCCAGCCCAACACGAGGTAAGCTGCCAGAAACCTACAGCCCCAATTGCCAACATAAGAGGCCCCAGCACACAAAGCCAGTGACCAAGACCTAGGCTCCCAACACAAGAAGCTTGGGTCAGTGCCCTCTGTTCCCCAGCAGGAGAGCTCAATCTCTTTAAAGGCCAGGGAATAAAGAAACACCATGAGTAAAAAGAAACATACCATAGATTCATATTATGAGAAGAGTGAAGATCAAGACAGAAATTCTGAAGAGGACAACATTGTCAACAAACCCACATCTGCAACAACAAAAGGGAATATGAACTGGTCTGAAGCCCAAAAAGCCTTCTTAGAAGAGCTCAAGAAGGATTTTAATAGTCAAATGAGAGGTAGAAGAGTCCTTCAAAAATACAATTGGCCAATTGGAAAAAAAATACACTGAAGAAAACAAGTCCCTAAGAAACACAATTGGCCAATTGAAGAAGGAAGTACAAAAACAATCTGTTAAAAACTAGAATTGGACAAATGGAAACTAATGTCTCTATGAGAGAGCAAGAATCAGTCAAACAGAAACAAAAAAATGAAAAAATAGATGAAAACGTAAAATACCTCATTGGTAAAACAACGACCTGGAAAATGATTCAGGAGAGACAATTTAAAAATTATTGGACTACCTGAAAATCATGATGAAAAAAAGAGCCTGGACAGTATCTTTCAGGAAATCATAAAGGAAAACTGCCCAGAAGTCCTAGAACCAGAAGGGAAAATAACCATAGAAAGAATCCACATCACCACCTGAAAGAGATCCCAAATTGACAATGCCAAGGAATATAATAGCAAAATTCCAAAATTACCAGATGAAAGAGAAGGTGCTGCAAGCAGCCAGAAAGAAACAATTTAAATATCATGGAACCACAGTCAGGATTACACAGGACCTTGCAGCTTCTACATTAAAAGGCCGCAGGGTGTGGAACATGATATTCTGTAAGGCAAAGGAGCTTGGAATGCAGCCAAGGATCAATTACCCAGCAAAAATGAGCATCATTTTTCAAGGGAGGAGATGGATATTCAACAAAATAGGAGACTTCCAAACTTTCCTGATAAAAAGACCAGAGCTCAACAAAAAATTTGATCTTCAAGTACAGGACTCAAGAAGGACATAAAAAGGTAAATGGGACAGAAAGATACAATATGTTGTTAAAGGGGGGGTGCTGTTTAAACCCCTACAAGGGAATATGACACTTGCAACCTTGAGAACTGTATTGTTATTACACCATGTTAAAGGAGTATACATAAAGAGGGTGGATATTAGTTGACTTTGATGTAATGATAAAAAAAAATCTAATCAAGTGGGTTAAATGGATCCAAATAAGTGGATCAATCTGATCTTAGAAAATGTACTGAGAAAGGAGGAGGCAGACAAGGGTAAATTACATTACAGGAAAAGACACAAAATCCTATTACAGCAGAGGGAAGGAGGGGGGAGCATTGTTTGAACCTTACTCTCATCAGATTTGGCTCAAGAAGGGCATAACATAATCAGTTAGGTATAGAAATCTAACTTGCCCTATAGGCAGTAGGAGGGAAAAGGGGAAAGAAAAGGGGGGGGGAAAGAAGGGAGGGAAGAAGCAGTAAGACTAAAGGGGAAGAAAAGGGAAAGGGATAATAAAAGGGGGAGGGAC